TTCAGCTAGAAACTTTCTGGAAATTTCTTCCTGTAGACATATGAAAAGATGTATTCCCAAGTATAATGCAGCCTAATTACTAAATGTAATACTTTTTTAATGATAAAGGCACAGAAAATAAAGTGTACTACAGAAGTAGCTGAAAGCCAAGTCATTTTATATAAATTACATTAACCCAATGTAAATTTACACCTATAGTCACATAATGATGATGAAGAAACACATTATAAACTAGGTTTTGTACTGTATAAGTAAAGCTTATAATTTCATACAAAGCAAGACTCCACATCCCAGATATAACTTCTATATTATCCCTTAATTAATAAGGGATATTACTTGAATTTACATGGCCTAATATGAATGAGTCCTTCTTCTTTTTCTTTATATAGCCTAAAGAAAACCAGTGTTTTCATTATGGTAGAAGTGAATCCCCTTTATTCTGTTGGTGTCTGAAGATACCACCAACCAAATCAGTGTTATGTTGTGGAGTTCCACTGACTTTTTTACTCTTTGTGGTTACAATGTTTGTGTGACATTATTTGGTCCATGGTATGTACGTATCCTAACAACAGTGGCCCTGAAATTCTGAGAAGCATTGGACATTTTCTAGTCAACATTCTTCTCAGTACTCTGAAATCATGGATGTCACCATTTTAAGATGAGTACATGACTACATCTTAAAATGTGGGGTCCTGTTGTAGGTAGCTGACTTCATCACAAACAGTTCTCAGATAATTTGTTACAATGAATTCATTGATTAATTACTTAAATTGGTATTTATAAATGATAATTCTTATGCTTTTAGAACAAAAGCAGTTAAATACTGTATATTGCAATATTTATTTGTTAATTTTACTAGCAGTCTCCTCAGTAGTTTACAATTAAACATGACAGGTAGATTTGCATGGTGTCTCCAAATGTGCTTAGCTATACAATAGTATTAATATAACTTTGTGATAATAAGTAAAATGAAACTGCATTTTTCTTTCTGGACAACGGAACTCCTTTTTAGGAGTTTATTAATAATTACTTCAGCATTAATGTGACTATACTACCAAGCATTTCTAAAACTGTCCAACCAATGTTAGTTAATGTCAGTTATGTACTAGCGGAACAAAACCTGCTGCTAGAGTATTTACGGGAGAATCTTCACCTCTGGAATAACTTGCATCTTGAGTATAACACTGTAAAATATACATGTTTATATTGTTTTACTGGATTATTTTAAAAGGACGGTATAATTGAAGAGAGTAAAATAAGTTCACATTGAGAAGAAAAATTCCCCAAGCAAAATTTGACATAAACATTTATTGTATTGGAACACATGTAAATATGACATATGTTCTTCTGACAAAATGAATGCAAGTAAATTTTCTGTTTGAAAATATATTGCTGGATTGAAAGTGTAGAGTTTAGGTGAGAGTAGATAGAGCTATGGATATTACTATCACATGCATTTAATTGACAATCCCTATTTTGGGTTATAAAATCTTATTTAAAAAATATGTTTTTTAAAGTTTAATATTAATTTGCAAAAATTTACAACTTCAGTGAACAAAAATAAAAATATACTTTTATTTAGATTAGAAAGTATTCACCATGAATTTAACTAAATTTTCTTTTAAAATAATTTGATGTTATATAAAACATTAGCTACAATACAAAGAGAGAACTTTTCTTTAAGTGTTGAAAAATTTTGTTAGATAATGATGGAAAAATTTAAATGTGACTAAAAAAATTTGAAAATCGAATAATATTGAATATTTGGGCACAGGATACACTGCTTTTGAATTGTTCTTTATTTTTCGAAAGAGATGACATTGTTGATCAGGACTCTAAGGAGAAAGAACTTGTTTCACTGCTCTCACCTATCCCTTGGTCTCTAGCAGTGTAAAACTGATATATAGAGGGGAAGGGAGCATATATAGGAATGGAACCATGGCTAGGCCAAATAGCAACCCAGTTTCTGCTACAGCAACATAACCTCAAGCTTTGCTAAAATTTGAGGCACAATCCACCAAGAATCACTCCTGGTCTCCACTATTATGGAAGAAATGAAAAGCTTTCTTGGAGGGAAAATTGACTGAAAGTGGAGGGTGTCAGAATTCTTTTAGTTTGAGCCCATGCTTGTAGGTACTGGATGTGTATATCATCGCTTACTCTCTTTTCCACAGGTTTCTACATATAGGTTAAAAAAATCTTTTCAGGCAATTTCCAGTTTGACTAATATTTTTACTCAATATCGATACTACTAGACATGCAGGATCCTTGAGAGGGCTGGCTATGGAGTAAAGAGATCTGAATTAGAATTACAGCTTCTCCTTACATGGAGTTAATAATCTCATCTTATTGAGTCTCAGATATTTCTTCCTTACACAGAGACTCTAAAGATTACATAAAATATCATATGAAAAAAATTGCTAGTACTGTGTCCGGAAAAATGAGAAATTCCCCAGATTAGTGACTGAATCTAAATTTCAATATGTAGGTAGAGTCCAGGACAGATTAAGAGCTGAGAGGTTCTTTAAGAAAGGTTGTTTGACCCTGAGAGGTGGTACATGGGGGCAGGGGCACAGAGCCCCTTCATCATCTGTGAAAAGTGACAAGGCCCTGTGTTGGGCTTCCACTTGGTTCTGTGACCAAGGTTCCGCATTTAGCCAAACCACGTGAAACTGGTTTGAGTCTTTCCTCATAGCTGCAATGTAGAGAAGACGTGGAAAAACTAGATGCTTAAAAACAAAAAGAATGAAAAATAACACAGAAATGCATTGTTATTTTTCCTTTGTAAAACAGAACCTTGCATGTAATAAACTAAATACATATTTGCTGAATGAATACACAAATACATAAATACACAAATAAATTAAATATATAAATCATTGAAATTTGAAAATAAGTAATTCTGAGTTCACCCTTACCCTATTATTATTTTTTTAAATAAAAAGTTCAGGGGACTTTAAGAGTGAAAGATACTCTAAAATGATTGATCGATCATTATGGTCATATGTTGAAGAAGAGCTACTTGGCATACATTTTTATGGAATGTACCTAAAAGCACAAGAATAAACCTGTTTCAATACACGTTTCTTGCACAACTTTTTGTACCACAAATTCTATCATAGTCACACATTTATTCATACAAAGGTCTCTTATTTCTTAATTAATAAAAATATTTATTCAGAATATTTTCTTAACATAGCCAGATGTTTACCAAATATACTCTTTAAGTATTTCATGAAGAAGAATATATTTTCAGACATTACCACTTACATTAAATTTAATCAAGATTGCTGAAGTATGTAGGCCAACAAAAATGAGTGGCTCAGCTGTAGGCATTGTGTTGACCTGTTAACCTGAATTTCATTCCTGACTACTTTCGTATTTAAACTTAAATTCCATAACCCATATATGCACAGAGGATTAATTGCAAATTACCATCCTACTTAAGAATAACCATAACAGCAAAATAGTTGTTCATTTCAACCATCAACTTTTTCAAGATTTGGAGCTTGTCTCCTTGAAAGTTCTCCCATATAGCAGAGTGAAGAGTCCACTTAAAGTAAGATACCAACAGGAGTTTGCAGAGATGCCACTTCATAATGAATGACAGCATCTGTGGAGGTCCTTTATTCTCTGGTATTCATAAAACTATCTTCTATATACATTTTAAGTGCCAATATAAATATGAAGATTTTCTAAATTATATTTTTCTAGTAAACATAATTCACATAAATCTCAGTGATTCAAAATAACACTCAGTGATGCTAATTCTTTTCTGGTAGAAAACTTGTAGATTGGAAAAATTATAACATCATGAGGTCACCTTAAACTAAAAATAAACATATGAAGCAAATAATTTTTATAGCTACCAACTGATGCTATCAGCCCTCTTATAAGTGATAATGCTAATGTAAAAAGTATACATTGAACGTTCAAATTTGCAAATGCATCTATAAAGATTAGAAAGAATTATATTTGAATCTATTAATAAAAGAATTTTCTTTCTATAAAACATAGACATAAAAATTCATCCAAGAAAATATTTTTATTTCACTATTTATTTTCCTCATTGCACTTTGATTTTAAGGACTCTAAGAATCTTATTGAATACTAAATTTAATTTTGTCTATTTTTTTCCTAAGAAAGTCGATGATGTTAGGTCATTATTTGAGTATCTGTTTTAGTGCTCACTAGGTTATTTTTTGGTAGTTTAATAATCTTTTTTACATGATTTTTACATAATAAATATTTTAACTGAAATGTGAAATCATGATAATGTATCTTTATTTTGATAGTACTGCATAGTCTGATAAAATTCACTTAGAGTAATTGTTATACTAAATAAACAGTAAACTTTATGTCCAGTATTTTCTGGACAATAAGTATTTCTCTGAGTAGCATATTTATATTTAAGAAAGTTTCTTATAGTTTGAAACATGTGACCTTATCTTTTTAGAAATGTATGGTAAAATCTTTGCCACCATTCAGCTGTTTTAAGTAAGAAGCACAAATATCCCTTCAAACATTTTTTCTTCTGCTGTATGTTTTAAGAGATGCATAAGAACAAATTCAATCAGGTAAGTTAACTATTTATTATATGAAAATGAGATAACAGAAACAAGAGGATAGTAGTGTCCAACTTTTATTTACTTCAAAAAGTAATATATCACACAACAGATTTAATTGATGATTAGAACTCACAGATGTGTTTGTTAAATGAAGTGCCTATCTCATATCTCTTATCAATCCACAATGACATTACAATAACAAATTTGAATTTGTAAATTTCGTAATTACAAAGTTATTATTTTCCTTTATATAGCTCATTTTTAAGCAAATGCTACATTTTTCTTAGAATGAAATGAATTGTAATCAGCTTATAGTGCTTTAATTGTAATAACATTTTAACACCAAAATTCTTCCTACAATATCTGCATGCCAATATTCAGTATTTCTGCTCTTTTCTGCATAACCATGGTTAGATGTTTTTCATCAACCAAATTCTTTTCTCATTTTTTCTATATGTCTCTGCCTTTCTCTATCTTCCTTTTCTTTCTCTCTTTTCTTTTTTATCTCCCCCCTCCACGCAGTTCCTTTCCTTCCTTGCCCTCAGTTCCTCACTGCAGAGTACACTGAACATATTAAGAACATTCAGTTGTGGTTGGGCTTCTAACCTTGCTCAACTCCAGCATTAGCAACGGGATTCAGTTTCTTGAATTCATTAATAGTGTTTTGCCACAAAAGGCTTTGTAGTTCTCTCCTGAATATTGAGCCTAGCTTAATAACATTCCATTTATGTTAAAGACACATTTAATCTGTAAATGTGACCTTTAGAAGAATTCTCTTGTTTTTCATTAAAGAAACACTGCATTACAAATATTAATTATTCCTTGATGCCATATTTTAATTAACTAATCATGTGCTATTTGCAGCAGTAAAGAGTGTAGTAATGTATGTGCAGTAATGTTATGCAATGTAAGATTGATATCAAAGAATTCAGTGCTGTAGAAAAGACATGTTTTGGGTATCTTCTCTGGAGTAGTTTGCTTATATAAAACATTTAGTCTAAAATGATGCCTTGTTTTGCTTTGCGTTTTGTTTTTTTAAATGCCAATGCAAGTCTGATTAAAATGCTGGACATATCGTTAGCCCCATCACTAATAAGTGAACGTTCACTGATGCATATTAGCAGGGTCTAGCAATGTGGTGAAATTGTCACTTAAGTGCTTGGAATCTGAACACAGAAAATGACAGGCAATGCCGAAGGTCCGGCTCCAATGCGTGTCTTCACTGTAGCTAAAGTCACTGGAATGGTGAAACCAGTTTAGGTTCAAGGTCGCTGCTGACATTCAGCTGTCATGGCTTCATTGTCTGCTGGCCTTCTCTCCATTGACACATTCAAGAGTACTTTATGGCAACCACAAAGAGCCAGTCAATTGATACCATTACACTTCATGCACACACAAACCACAAGCCTGTTCAGGACTGTTGATACAGTCTAACATTTATTCATTAAGGGATCTATTGAAAATGCAACTTGCCCAGCCCCACTCCTAACAACATAGACTTACTTGTTTAGTCCAAACATTTAGCTACGTCTTTTTCAAGTTTTGCACAGCATTCTCTAATTGAGGTAACATTATCTGCATTTTAATGCTACACCATTTATGTCCAATGAAAGATTACCTGAAGAACCCTGCCATTACCACACTAGTTTAAATACGGGCAGTCGTATAGAAAAAATATACACAAAAGATGTAAGCAGGGGGAAAAGGGAGATATTTATTTGTTCTGGGAGTGCCACGGAAATCCAATTGCTCAGAAATGAAATAAGAGTCTGAAGCGAAAGGAGGGAAAACCTAAGCTTGGGTCAGGGAAGAGGCAGTGATTAGCTCCATTGTTAGGAGCTCTTTGAGCTTCGTTGGTTGTAAAGAAAAACCCACTAATGAATCTATTGAAGCTTGCCAGAACTTTGTGTGGAAGACAACTTAAGTTATGGTGCTTATCTAAAAAATGGTACTAAAGTGTGCAGATATATAAAACATAGCACATACATCTCTTTGTTAACAGCTTGCCCATAAAAACAAAAAAAATTGTTTAAAGATACTGTGATGCACAAATGACTGATTTAACATGGATATGCTTAATTCAATATTTATAGGTCTTGAAAAAAATCACCTAAATGATGATAAGATACAAGAAAGTATGCCCTATTATAGTTTAAAGATGGGGAAATAGGCAGAAATAGAATATAGCTAATCTCTTCTTGGTTTTCTACCATTATTTGCAAAGAAAGGTGGGCTTAAAAGCGAGTCAGAAGATTGTTTCATGTTTTGCATATTTTAAGTATGCATAAAACATTTCATTAAGAAATGTAATCAACTAACATTAAAAATAGCAGACTTTGTATAGAAGAACCAATATGCCTGTGTACTATACCTAGTAAAACATGTTCATCATGCTTCCATTCTATGTAATTTCCAACATAGAGTTGAGTCTTTTCTTGCAGCCAGATATAATATCTAATTACATATATATATTTAATTCTATAAAATACATTTCACTGTCTAATTAATGTAAGAATTCAATTAGGTAGCCATATACTAGAAAAAATAATTTTGGCCAATCACTTGGTCAAGATCATTGCTAGTAGCTGGAAAATGTATGCTGTATAATAAGTAGAGGTAGAACATATTCTGAATGTTTTGTCATGAGTTAAGTTTTGCCAAATACTTTCAAGTGTTATATTGGTAAAGCCAAGTTCAATCACCAAATGAGAACTTATCCATGGGATAAGTTAACCCAACTATCACACTTATCCATGGCTCCATGACTTTTTCACAAGAATGAAGCTTATTACTTGGGAAACATGATTCTCTACCTCTGAAGACTTGTCTTTTATAGATAAATGAGTGTTATGTCAATGAATTGGCTTATTTTTTCATGACCAAGTAGGCATTATTCCTCCAAAGCATGCTATTTAGGGGCAACAGGACTAACTGATAAGCAGAATTCTTCTTTTATAATGTCAAAGATCTTTTTACTTTTGACATCCCAGATTTACAGCTAAGGCCCTAGGAAACTTTTTGTGGAGATTATTGTGTAGTTATCATGAAATTATCTCTTTAGACTCGTGTCAACATAAGGGAAGATATTGTTGCCACAGTATGAACAACCGTTCTTCAGGTCTTCATTAATTTGCTTCAGTGATCAAACTAGCATGAGCAAAGGCTAAACACAACCAAATAAAAAGCTAGTTATGTGGTTGTAGTTTATGTCAGGTCCAAACCATCCAGAATCCATTCTGATAAGGTATGTTACCAAGAATGTCTCTTTTTCTATGAGATTTTATGTCAGGAGATTTGACTTAATTTTGACCAACAGAGTAATCTGAGGATGAGAATTGCAAGACATATATCAAAATATTGAGAAGGTAAAGGAAATTAATATTGAAAGGATACAGTCCAGTTGTGTCAAGCACTTTACTTATGTTGTTTTGTCTCTGCAACAACCCTGTATATTTTGGGATTATTATTGCTCAATTCTACTGGTGGGCAAAGAGAAGCTTCTGGACCTTTAAATTTTTACCTGAGGCCATGAAGTAAGTAACTGGTAATGCTGCAAGTTAAACTGAATACCGTATTTGCCTGAAGCCCATAATGTCCTGAATACAGGTTTCAGCCAAAGGACTTAAAACACCTTGGTAAAATTTAGCTAACATTGCTGATGCCATTTATGGTAATAGTACCTTCTCTCTCTTTCATCTTCATGTTGCCTCACTTTTCAAAGTCACTCCCTGTAATAAGCTTCCATTTTGTCTTTCTTTCTCTTCCTCTTTCCTTTGCTTCTAGAGAATATTGAAGATCTATCATCTTCCATATCAAACTTCATCCATATCAGACATCTTTCACATCAGTTTAATAATAAAAGTAGCTCCACTAAGGAGTAACAGTGATCTACCAATTCACAATAGTTTCTACTGTATTTTTTTCCTCGAGGAATATGAATGTAAATCTGTCAGTCCAAAATTCAGGGTCTCTGTAAATGTTCTGTAAAATCCTTATGATGTGTTATATAATCCTTTGAGCTTTCTTCCAAAACTCTTTTATATCTTTTCATTAATTTAACAATTTTTTCTAGGAAATTTCTTTTCAGATGAGGAAACAAACTTTTATGGTAAGTTATCCTGTATTTCTACTGGAGATTCTAGATCAAGAGATATATGCTAAGATTTATAGCCTGTACCATACTGACCTACAGCACACGTGCTGTGTGTGTGCGCATGTGTGTATAACCTTCCAGGTGCACCCTTCCAGACTAACAGCTCACCATCTTCTGTTCGCATTACTTTCGCATGGAGAAATTTTTTGTATGCTTCTGATATATTTCTTCAAGAAAAAATAAAGACTGTTTAAGTGCATATTATCAGTTAAATAACTTGGTCAATTTTTGGAGTATTCACTCATTTGAATGGCAAAGAAATTATCCCATCTGAAAAGTAGAAAGGATATAGTGCCTTTGTCACAGACACATTTACAGTCTCTCATAAGGCAGTTTTTCTTTGTCCAGCTGTATTTTCAAGAATGATTTTAAATGAGGACTTTATAAAATGCCTTACTAAAAATGACACCAAATAAAATTCAAATAATAACAGAAGGAGAGAGATGACCAAGGCAAACAAATGACTTTCCTTCTGAAACTTTGCTGTAACTAGATACAGATTTCTCCTTTTAATGATGTAATTTGGATAAATATATCCAAATTGCAAAATATTTTGCAATTATATTAAATTTTATAAGAAAATTGTCTTGGGGAAATTCTCTCCATGGCATATTTTTTATTTTATTTTTTTACTATTCTCCACTAGTACACAATTAAAGCAAATATTATTTGGCAGGGTTGGGAAAAAATTTTAATACAAATAGCTTACAGAAAGATAATAAACTCTTTTAGGAAAGTGAAATATGCTTTTAAGGTATGCTTTCAGTGAATTTATAATCTAGAAGAAGGCTTATTTGATGATTGTTCCCTATAATTAGTGAGATCAGTAATCAAGACAACTGTGATTTATTTCACCAGGAGACCTAAGAGACTGAAGACATCTGGCCTGGACTACTCCGATGGTGAAATTGAAAGTACACCGAAATTTGCTTTGTTACAGGATTCTCTTCAGAGGACAAGAGAAGACGTTATATTCTCTGCAGGAGGACAATTCTGCAGCATCAACATTGAATAATACTTGTTTTCTGGCAGCAGAATTTTGTATTATATTTCCAAAGACAGTAAACACTTGGGTGGACGTCAATGAATACTAAACACTAATTGATCTGATACAGCCATATGCACATACACAGATATACATGGTAGCTTATAATGGTTGAAAAATTACAGTTTGGTTCTATTAAAAGATCTGTCACTTTTAGGTCAGAGTGGGATTTTGGAGGGGTAGTCTCCCACAATAGAAAACTATCTTGACAACAGTGGTGTTTTGGTGTTGTTTGTTGTTTAGCTTGTTGATGATGCTTAGCTAAGGAGACACTTCCTTTCAGATTCTGTCTTCCAAACCCCAGGGCTCTGTTCTGGGCAGTTCAGCCTAATGGAATTAAGCCTGACATGTTTCAACTCTATTTCTTGATAAAATAAACATAAAACAATGGTTTAGATTTCGAATAAAACTCTTGAAGCATGGGGGACTCTAACTTTCCCTGTTCTTTACACATCTGTAAATAAAGTGTATGAGAGGAACACAACAGGATAAATCAACATAAATTTGAAATTCACTGCAGCATATTAAATGGTGCAGTCTCAGTCAAAGAGAGGCTGACCCCGAGGCTTCGTGCAGTTTGAAGCTAATTGTTTTCGTCAGGATGGGAACGTCTGGAAGTCCATGGCTGTATCCCACCAGTAAGGCTCCAGTAACTGAGCCGGCCCACAGAGAATGGGCCCACTTTGTAGCGACACAGCGGGCTCAGACACCACCTATTCTGCTCTCCAAACTGTCATGCATAACAACTTTATTGTGCTAAATTGAACTTGAAAGCAACCAAAGGCTATGAGAAGGAGAGGCTATGAGAAAAGCGTGCTGTCAGTGCTGGCAAAGGCTGACCTGGAAAGTAGGCTCAGAGACAGGGGAATAAAAGACCAGGCCCCATGAACACAGCATATTGTTTCATTTTAAAGTATGATTCCCATACCAGAGAAAGTAGCAAATGTGATGTAAATTTATTTAAATAGATTCGACCGCTTAAAAGTTTGCCAGCCGCTCTTATCCAACTTTCCCAGCTCTCTGATTCGTTACTTACAGTGGGAATATAATGACATATAGTCATCATTGTAACAGCTTCTTTGCAGGGGCACAATGATGATTAATAGCCAGCAGCAAATTTTCACATGGGCTCTGAAGCACTATGGCATTAAGCAGCCAAACAGTCCCAAATCCCCCTTTTCTGTTCCGCTGAAAAGTCCCCTCCTTGTACCTTCCAGATAGGAACAAAGCCTATCTTAATTCCAATCAGCTTTTCGTCATTCAAAGGGACCTTCTCTTTTTCATAATTGATTCATGTGCATTTTTTAGTGTTCCACTGAACTGAAACCACTTTTCTCTGTTCTGTCCCCACACCCGCACCCCTTTTTTTTTGAGGGGGTGAGTGGGAAACATTTCAATAACAACAACAACAGTAAAAACCGTGTGGTAGTTTTCCCCAAAAATATTTGCTAAATAGATTTCTCAATTAGTATTAGCTTTACACTTAAAGGGCTTAAAACAAAAATTAACTCCTGGACTTCTCTTTCGTTAGAAGTGGTTCTGGTTATAAAAATATGAGCTTACTGAAATAGCTCTGGTGGGAGCCCCACAATCATGTTCTGTTCCATTGGGAGACTTTGAGTAGCTTTCCTTCCTATGAGAGACACAGCTGGAGTGAGGACAGAGTCTCTTGCTCCAGAATGATTCTTTTTCCTCCTCTGTGCTGGTAGCCATCAAAAAAGGAACAAGTGACCAAAAGGAGAGGCAGCAAAGGCACACCTCCTAACCTGCTCTGTCCTTCTCAATTATCATTTTTCCCCATGGTAATCTTACATTATAATTATTAGCAGAAGCTCCTGTGTTATTTGTGGAAGTTGTCTCTCTCATCTCTAGTTTTTACCTCCTGTGATCATGACACAAATGACATTAACCAGTGCTGTCTTGGAAAAAGATTTCCACCTGCAAATTCATTTGTGTTTCTATGACGATATAATGGCCATAGAGCACAGTTTTGGTAGATACACTTTGCATATTTGTTTACATTTCTTACAACGCTGACCTTATTTTTCTGTATGAGTAGGATGACCACATGCCTCTGTTTTCTCAGGACAAGCCTCATTTATGCCTGTTGTCCTTACATAATTATTAACAGTGCTTCCTTTTACCCTCGAAAGTATCCTAATTTGAACAATTTGAAAAACTCATGCCTTTTGCTATTTAAATGGCCCCGAATGACTTATACATACTCAAAGGGCGGGCTCTCTCTTACCCAGGTGGCTGGGGACTGCTTTATACCATCCCAGTTTAGGGGAAAGAATCAAACTTGGAAACCCTGCTGCCGATGTAGCCAGCACCGACTTTTGTCTCGCCCACTTTGAAGAGGTCAGTTGACCCTATGCAGCTTCTTTGATATGTGACAGAAAGGAGGTCATTTGCTGAAATGAAAGACACATTACAAACCAGATTTTAAGTGTGACTCTTTCCTTCAGTTGGGTCACAGTTCTTACTTTGAGCCAGCACAACACACTTTACTGGTCAGATAAAAATACTCTGCCATATTTTAGAATAACAGTCTTTCTCATGCTTTGGTGTCTCCAAATGGTTAAATGAAGACTATATCCAATTGATAGGAGGAATTCTGTTCATCAGTTTTACCCTAGTGCTTATATCTTCTCATAAAAAGCAACATGTGAAAATTGCATTATATATCTCTATTGTACTTTTTAAAATTTTATTTATTTTTTATTAAAAAAATTTTTTATTGCATTTTAGGTTTTGGGGTACATGTGAAGAACATGCAAGATAGTTGCATAGGTACACATGTGGCAGTGTGATTTGCTGCCTTCCTCCCCTTCACCTATATCTGGCATTTCTCCCTATGCTATCTCTTCCCAACTCCCCACCCCCCGCTGTCCCTCTCCTATTCCCCCTTACAGACCCCAGTGTGTAGTGCTCCCCAAAAATCTCAAACAGGTGAGTGTAATCCAGTCTTTGGGTTACAGGACCAAAGACTCTCAAAAAGTGTTACAACGCCCCAGGCAATGGTCCTAAGGGCTGGATTTTGCATGTAGATTACCAAATTAACTAAGAGATACTTAATATCATCTGTAGTCAGAGAACTCCCTTCTCCCTCTATGGGGGGAACCAAGGACATTCACATGTGTTGTTTCTTCTTGAAAGTATATGTGATAAATGGGCTCCTGATGTGCTTGTGTCAGAATAACTATAGCAGGACCTCAAAATTTTCCACCGTTCATAAGACCATAGCTCACATTCAATTACTGGAAGGACAAATATGTAAGACTTTTGACTGCCTTACTACCTGTTTTAGAAGAGCATAGCCTCTTGCTCTAAGCCAAATCTGGACCTATCTAACCTTTATTTATGCATTTTATCCCCTTTCTTAGATGATTCTTTCAGAAATGAAATGAGTGGTGTACATGAAAAATATTTTCTGATGCAATATTTTTAAAATAAAAAACTTTTTATGGTCGTGGATTTATTTATGAAGTGAGTGTTTAGACAACTTTAAAGCCAATTCTACCATTTGGTTCCTCTTTGATGGTGATAGCCAGCTGTCCTGTTTAATAGGATGATGGACCTGGTTACCACTAAAGTCCGACACTTAGAAATCACTCTGTATTTTTAGGCCCTAGCTGTTTATAAGTCTATGGGAATCTAACAAGGAGAACTGGTTTCTGCTAACAATTCTTCCTATTTTCTTGCATGTGGCTGTGTCTATTCTCAAAACTTTTGGCTCATCTTACTAGATCTTTTACAAAGATGCCGATGTTTCTTGAAAGTGGCTGAAAGATTAGGGACTTTGTGCCTGATGTGCTGGAATAGGTCTGAGTTCTGTTAAATCTGATTTAAACATGTTAAATCAAATCTTTTCTGATTTATTCTTATGCCCTCATTTTCATGTAATGTTACAACTATGAAGAAGTGTAATTAAGACTTTGATATGCCTTCACAGTCTAAAGAGTGCTTCAGTGACAACAGTTTTATTAGATTACAGTGATGGGTCTGGCTGAGAAATTCCCACATTCATGAAGGACTCTGCTTTTTACTGGCTAAAATGGGATTTTAAAATGCAGTGACCTTTGGGACTCTCAGATAAGTTGCCTCTCCAACCCTTAGGTTATTTTATGGATTGCTAGGGACACAGAGAAGACTGGATCAATGAATGCTATGCACATCTTGTCTACTGGCACCATTGGAGGGACTGAAGATCAGGGTGCCTCTTTTGACTTTGGTTTGAGATTACAATGTTACCCTCTGCTTTACCCTACTAACTCCATCCTCTCCACTCCATCACTCTGTATTATCTCTAGAATGCCATAAAGCACTTACAGTTATTTTTCCTCACAGTGGAAAATCTCTTTATGCAAACTATATAAACCAAGGCCCACTATCCTTACACAGGCAGGGCCAACCCTTTCCCACCAAAGACTAAATCTGCCTGGATGCCCAGGATAGTTGTTTTATATACAAACACACTATCTGTATCCTAATCCCAAGCCAGCCAAATATATATGTCAAACCTGAGGTGGTTTTGTTTAATTACATGATGCCTACATTGAAGTATAAAATCTCTTAATTGGTTCCTGTCCTGTTTTTTTTAATATACTCAAGCTTTTCATATCTTTATTCTGATTTTTCATATTTTTCTTTTCTCTTTTTACTTGTTAACAGAACGCTGGTTTCTTTTCAGATACTATGCAGAAAATAGACTCAGAGAAGGTACACATATGCCCATGAGTCATAATTGGTCTAACTCTTTCATCATGATTCTATTTTCTTTAGCCAGGGATTGGTTTAAGGACAGTCATGTGACTCATTCACCAAATGAACATAAAAATAAATCTGTTGGGAAACATTTTTCTTTTGTAAAAAAAGAAGAGACAAATTCATGAGGAAAACCTTACGCTCCTTTATGTTTTTAAATCTTATTTCATGAGGATGGGGGCTTGGAGTTTTGGCAACAATAACAGAGAAGCCAAGAGAATCCTAAAAAAGCTGACCCAGAGATGTAACATTGGTGAGATATTAATTAACCAACTTGGAAACTTTCACTTCTAGACTTCTTGTCATATAAAATAATAAACCCCTATTATTTGAGTCATGCCTTGTTGGGAATTCTGTTACTTGCACAGTAACTGAATTCTGTACCTTCTCTTTTCCTGGTTATTTCTTTCTTAGTACACATATCTTTTCTAGCTTCTCTAGGTCAACTTGGTAGGATAATAGAACTCAGACTATTATAGTTGGCAGCACAATAGATCACTTCATTTAATCAAATTTAATATACTTACTTTACTGTAGAGGAAGAACACTTAGGAAGCAACAAAAAATAATCTGAGGTCATGTAGGCAGCCTACTCTCAACAGAATTAGACTAAAATTCTGGTTTTCTGAATTGTAGTTAAGTCTCTCTATAACAATTTGGTCCAGTTTCCACTATTGCTCTGCACTCTCTCATTCCAACCACAATTCATTACAAATTGGCATACTGTACATCTTACCTATGAAGCACATAAGATAGGCTGAGATCAGTGGCTCATGCCTGTAATACCAGCACTTTGGGAGGCTGAGGTGAGTGAATCACTTGAGGTCAGGGGTTTAAGACCAGCCTGACAAACATGGTGAAACCTCATCTTTACTAAAAATACAAATATTATCCGGGCCTGGTGGTGCATGGCTGTAGTCCCAGCTACTCAGTAGGCTGAGACAGGAGAGTTGCTTCCACCTGGGAGGAAGAGCTGCAGTGAGCCGAGATTGTGCCACTGCACTTCAGCCTGGGTGACAGAGCGAGACTCTGTTTCAAAAAAAATAAAAAAATAAGATAAATCTTATCCACAAAATAATGGATAAAGTATACATCCATACATGCATCCAATTTGTCAAAGGAATTTAGTCATCAAAGGACATTTTCATGGACCCCTAGGAAGATCACTATGACACACTTTCCCCAGAACTAAGATGTCTTTATTTAAATATTATTTGGTAATCTCCACATCGTTTTGTGTGTTTCGCATATTAAATTTGTAAGGTCCTAATTTCATATGTATAAAATACATACAGTGCTCTGATACTATATTCAAATCTGATATCTGGGAAAAATGCACAAGAGTTGTTCAAATCTGTCCATATCACTCATTCTAAAATTTGGAGATACAATGCTGAATCCTAGGTCAGTTAACTATACACAAGTGTTATGCTTACTTTCATATTGTGCTGAACAATGAGGGAGAAGTGATAGACAAGAGAGCAAGAGATGGGCTGCTCTTTAGCCCTTGTGTTTTGGGACCAGGCAGGTTCTGGGTCATTTCTCATTGCTCTTTGCTCACAGTCCCAGCATAACACTGATTTTTTTTTTAATGTGAGGTGTTAATATTATGGGCAAAAATTCTTCTTGATATCTATCACAGTAAATTCCAGCAGCCAGTGTAATCAACACAAAGTGAGATGGGCTGTTTAATCAATTAAATGTAGTTTAATCTGCAGAAAAGTTCATAATTAAAAATTATTTTTTTAAATTGTGGTAATATATACAAAACATATAGCTTAATTTCATTATTTTTAAGTGTACTATTCAGTGGCATTAAGTACATTCATACTTTGCAACCATCATCACCATCCATCCACAGAACTTTTTTCATCTTATAGAACTGAAACTCTGTACCCATTAAACAATAATTCTCCATTAACCCCTCCCACCAGCCCCTGGTACATACCATTCTAATATTTTTCTGTTATATACTGTTTGTCCTTTTGTGACTGGCTTATTTCGCTTAGCATAAAGTCTTCAAGTATGTATCAGAATTTTCTTTCCTTTTAGTGCTGAATAATATTTCATTGTATGTATACACCTCATTTTGTTTATCTGTTCCTCCATCAATGGACACTTGAGTTGCTTCCACCTTTTTGTTATTGAGAATAATGCTTCTATAAGCATGAGTAATATGGTCTGGTTCTGTGCCCCACCTAAATGTAATCTTGCATTGTAATCTGAGTATGTTGGGGGAGAAACCTCAGGGAGGTGATTAGATCATGGAAACAATCCCCCCATGCTGCTCTCATGATGGTGAGTGAGTTCTCATGAAATCTGATGGTTTTATAGGGAGATTTTCCCCCTTTGCTTGGCACTTCTCCTTCCTACTGTGATGTGAAGAAGGATGTGTTTGCTTTGCCTTCTACTATGATTGTAAGTTTCCTGAGAATTCCCCAACTATGCTGAACTGTGAGTCAATTAAACTTCTTTCTTTTATAAATTACTCAGTCTCTGGTATGTCTTTACTAGCATCATGAGAATGGACTAATACAATGAGTATACAAATATCTCATTGTGTCCCTGATTTCAGTTATTTTGGGTACATACTCAGAAGTATTATTGCTGGATCATATGGTAATTCTACTTTTAATTTTCTAAAGGAACACCATGTTGTTTTCCAACAAGACTAGACAACTGTATCATTCAAAAGGCCTTGGGTACGGTACTTAGAATGGTCTTGGGTCAGGAATGAGGAAAAGTTGGCCTTAGACTAAATGTTGCTCTGGTACGATATAAAGAAGTTCAAAAGCAAGATCTAACAGAATCAACTGTTTCCAAGGACTTTGACTGCATCCAAGAACAAAGCTCAAGAACCAAAAACTATCCAGCATCCAACAAAGGAAAATTCACAATGTCTAGTAGTAAATCCAAAATTATCATGTTTCCAAAAGGGAGGAGTACAACTCATAACAAAGATGAAAAAAAAAAACCAACTGAAAGTAACCTGAAATTGACAGAAATGTTAGAGTTGGCAGACAAGGAAGGACATTAGAACAGTTTCTATAACTGTATTCCAGGTGTTGCAAGAGTTAGTTAGAGAAAGGGAAGATAAAAAATTTTAAAAAAACCCAAACATTCAAAGATTAAAAACCTATAATATCTGACACAGAAAATACACTGATGGACTTGATGGCAGATTAGGCATTGCAGAAAATGATATTGATAAACTTGAAAATATGCAATAGAAACTATTAAAAATGAAAAACATGGAAAAAAGCATTGTTTTTTTTTTAAAGTGCCTCAGTGATCTGTGTCATAACTTCCAAAGGCTTAATATATGTGTAGCGTCTCCCTCAAGAATGGGAAGAATCAAATAAATACTTGACAAAATACAGATGGGACATTTTCTAAATTTGACAAAAACTATCAAAAAATTTAAATGAACCCCAAGCACAAGAAAGATGAAGAAAATCACACTACTCAAATTGCTCAAAACCAGTGATGAAAAATTTCTTAAAAGCAGCCAGAGGAAAAAAGGTAACTTTTACTGAGGAAAAAAGGGAAGGGTAACAGTAGATTCCTCTTTGGGACAATGTAAATGAGAAGACAATGTAGCAACATCTTTATGGTATTGAACGAAAAAAAGTTACCTAATAGTCTACACCCAGCAAAAATAGCTTTCAAACATCAAGATGTTTCATACAAGCAATAGCTGAAAGAATTATCACCCACAAACCTGTGCTTCAAAAGAGTTAAAGAAACTGCTTAAGGAAAAAAGAAAGTGAGACCAGATGTAATTGAAAGTACTGGAAATGGCTATTTCTTGACTTGTTTTCCTTGTTATTTAAATCTCTTAAAAACATTTGATCTGACAATTGACTTGTGTATAGTACACAAAGAACTTTCAAAACGCAACAGTAAAAAAAAAAAAACACATTTTTTTTTGCACAATTAGAAAATGTGCAAAATACATGAAGTCATTTCACTGAAGAAAATATAAGCAAATAGTCACATGAAAAAATGTTTAACATCATTAACCATTAGGAAAATGCAAATTAAAACCATAATGAGCAAATCAGAATGGCTAAAATAAAAACAGCACCAAATGCTGATGAGAATACAGAGAAATTAGATTACTCATAATTTCTTGTAGAAATGTAGAATGGTAAGCCTGTCTGAAAAATAGTGTAAAAGTTTCTCAAAAACTAAACAATCACTTACCATGCAATCCAGCAATTACACTACTGGGCATTTATCCCAGAGAAATGAAAATGTGCATTCACACTACAACCTGTACACAATGCCCATAGCAGCTTTGTTTATAACAGTTTCAAACTGGAAACAACACTATTTTCCTTCAGTAAATGAGTGGTTAAATCAATTGTGGTATATTCATATAATAGTATACTAACATTACAAAATGAAAGTACTACAGATACACATCACAGTTTTGATGGTTCAGGGAATTATGGTGAGTGGGAAAAAAGCCAACCTTAAAAAGTCACATACTGTATAACAATTCTACAAATAACAAAATTATGAAAATAGAGAACAGATTCATGGTTGCCAGAGGTTAGGAATGGTGGGTGATAAAGGTGGGTGTGACTATCAAGGAGTAGTGCAACAAGAAATTTATTTGTGATGTTCGAATGGTTCCATATCTTGACTGTGGCTGAGGTTGAATGAATCTACACATTTGATAATATGACAGAGAACTATGTACCAATGTCAAGTTTCTGGTTTTGAAAATTTATTATAGCTATATAAGATGTAACCATTGGAGGAGAGTGGGAAAAAGATACACAAGAACTGTCTGTACTATTTTTGGAACTTCCTATGAATCTACAATTATTTCAAAATTAAAAGTAAGAAAGAAACCACTACTATGAGAATGAAAATCCAAGCCACACATTGAAAGAAAATCTTTGTAAAGCCTATACTTGACAAGACTTGCATCCAGACTATACATAGATTTCTCAAACCTCAATAATAAATAAAAAGACCTTATTAAAAATAGGCAAGATTCAAACACACTTCTTCAAAGAAGATATATTGATGACACTAGTGTACATGGAAAGATGCTTAACATTATTAGTCATGTGGGAAATGTAAATCAACAGTACAATGCAATCCAGTACTCACTTATTATTAAAAATCTTCTCATAACAAGTGTGGGTGAGCAGTGAAACTCTAATATATTGGTGGTAATGTAAAATGGAGTGACCACTTTGGAAAATAGTTTGGCAGTTTCTTAAGAAGTTAAACATACACTTACCGTATGATTCAGTCAATTCACTCCGTAAAATGAAGCCCAAGAGAAATGAAAGCATATAGTCATTCAAAGGATTGTTCATGAACATTGATGGCAGCTTTATTTGTAGCAGCCCCAAACTGGAAATGATCCAAATAACCATAACATTTTAATGGACAAACAAATTGTGAAATATCTACGCAAAAGAATACTACTCCATAATCACATAGAATTAACTACTGATGTGAACAACATGAATGAATCTTAAAAATAATTTCACTGCAGGAAAGAAGCCAAAGAGTACATCTTGTAGGATTCAATTTAGATAAAATCTAGAAAATGTAAGCATCAATACTGACAGAAAGTAGATCAGTAGTTGCCTAGAGTTGGGGAAGAAGTAAAGGAGAGAGTATTAAAAAGGAATATGAGAAAATTTGGGGAGCAATTCCTAAGTTTGTTATCTTGGTTGTGCTGATTGTTTTAAGGATTTATACATTTGTCAAAACAAATCAAATAGTTCACCCTAATTTAATATTGTACAGTATTTTTTAAATTAAAAAAAGGTGGACCAGGTGTGGTATCTCATGCCTGTATTGGAGGATTGCTTGAGGCAAGAAGATCAAGACCAGGCTGGAAAACACAGTGAGACTCTATCTCTAAGAAAAATTTAAAAGAATTAGCTGAGTGTGGTGGTGCACACCTGTAGTCCTAGATATTCCTAAGGCTGAGACAGGAGGATCAATTCGGCCTAGGAGTTTAAGGCTGCAGTGAGCTATGATTGCACCAATGCGGTCCAGCCTCAGTGACAGAGTGAGACCCTGTCTTGTAAAAGCAAAACAAAACAAACGCCAAAAAACCCAACATTAAAACAATTGAGATGGAATTTATTTCCCTCTTGTTTGAGACTACCTCAACTATTAGGTTGGAGCAAAAGTAATTGCTTTTTTTGCCATTAAGGTAATGGCAAATAATAAAAGAATATGGCAGAATCGAAGTTACGTGATCTCTTACATTAGCTAAGGAAAGTCCTTGTAGCTTCCCCAGTTAATTTTAGGACAGTCATCTTTGGAGCTGTCAGCCACCATGTAAAAAGTACGGCTACTCTGAGTTCATTCTGCTGGAGAGACCTCTTGGCAAAACTACGTACAGAAACACTGATACTAGGAAGGGATGAAAAATGCTCAAGGGTTGGATGTGGTGGCTCATACCTGTACCTCAGTGCTTTGGGAGGCTAAGGCAGGAGAGTGCACTGTTGCACTCTGCCTGGGTGACAGCAAGATCCTGTCTCAAAAAAAAAAAAAAAAAGAGAGAGAGAGAGAGAAAGATGGCTGTATAGCTTCCTACTGACAAGCTGTCTGAGGTCATCATCTGACTAACTTCATGACTTAGATCCCACACCAGAACTATCCACCTGAACCCTGGAAGTTGTTTTATACCATGAAGTTTTGGGATGATCTGTCACACAGAAAAAAATGACTAGAGGCTGCCAATTCTATATTTTCCATGTTCATAGTATCACTTTTATTCTTTTCAGGAAAGACAATGTGTTGACAAATGACTAGATGTAATTTGTGTTTTAAACGTTGCAACTCTTCATACAAGCGAATTTGCAAATTAGAAAAAATGATTTGTCATTATATATGCCCTAGCCTCAAGTTTAGAATACAGCAACTCTATCTACGGATTAAGAAAATCACTTGCTTCAGTTTAAAACCTTCAAATTTAGCTGAAGTCAATCAATCAATCAAGAAAGTACTGAATGTTTGACTTAGTGGAGTATGCAGAAGATGTCTGGTCTGCCTTGTCCTCTAAGGGCTTATCACCTGGGTGGTGAAACAAGGAATTTTTGCAGCAAGATGTTGTGGAATGTCTTCATGAAAGGGGAAGAATTTGAACTATAAATAACAAATTATCAATTTCAGTTACTTGAAGGATCTTAACTTACCTTTTTCATTTTGTCTGAAAGGAAAAGTTTTGCGCATGATTATCCCATTAATATTAAATCTCAGAAAACACAATCTAAGAACTCTTATTTGCTAACCAGATCATTTTCCTCCCAGTATTTATCCACTTCCTTCAACTAAGGATACCCTGAGTGTATATTTTTCGAACACTTTGTCAGCTTTAATTTGAAATAATCTTAGCAATGGGACCATTGCCATCCAGCTAATGGGAGGATGAACAGGGGTGCTGCTTCATGCAATCATGTTGGGAGGTGACAGATTTGATGTAGATGGTGGTTAATAGCACTA